ATGAAATGTGTTAACTGAGTTTTAGAAATATAAGCCATCTTGCAGTTACTGTGATAATACTAATTTTTGGTACCTCCATATTATACCATCAACCATGAAAGTTGTGCTAATTACTGCTGTGGAATTCTGAGCCAGACATTTGTATACAGCAGTTACAACAAACCATACATCAGTCTCTCTGCAGAATACATGAAATAACCCTGCTGTGAAAGTATTGGACCCCACTTCGTGAAAAAACATTCGTTCATTACTACTGTTTTATTTGCGGTCAAATTTTACCAAAAGCTCATTTTAGAATGCTATGAATACAAGTTGTCCACAGGTAATTGTTCCAATTTCTTACTGTTTTGTTCGCTATTTCCACATACAGTAGATGTTAATTCTTTCGACCAGCTGTAAAAGAACTGGAGTGCAATCACAAATGTGATTCTACCTAGCTTACCAAGAATTATTTTGGGTTACATACAAATGAAACCGCAGATGTTGCGAGTGTGGTGATATTAATTTTTGTTTTGTCTTCATTAACCGGAAAAAATAAATTTTCCATTAATGGTGAAAAGGTAAGAAATATGTTAATATAATATAGATAATCTCAAGATATATTATAGTCATTATAATCTAAATTCAAAATACAAAAAAAAAAAGATTTATTTGTTACTTTATTAGTAAGTGTTTTAAGTTGCTTCGTTTATTGATAATACTTCAATATAAACGATTCTTTTCAGTTACAAAGTTCTGTTCAACCCGTTAATTGTTGTGCGAGCAATATGCTAACTGTCAATTGAAATTTTTTCGTTTTCACTAACCTCTTGTCAATTATCCAGTGTATGGACATGATACTTTCGTTTGTACGATCCTTTGGGAGCTCCAAATCGGAAATTCTATTTGACATAATCGAAAGTTCAAGTTTACTTTATAAAATTGCTCTTACAGTCTGCAAAAAATAATAATTCGGATCCAATTCGAAGATTAAGGAACAACGCATTCATCAACATTAACTGAAATAGATAATTAGATAATTTTAGCTTATACCATCGGTTATACATAAAACGTGCACGCAAAAACATATTCTGCGCGTGCGCACACGCATATGCACAGTGGTAAAAGGCCTTACGCGCACGCGTGTCAACGCGGCGCATGCGCAGAAAGTTTTTTGCGTTGAGGTCCGGATTATAGATCATTCTGGATTACGGGTGTCCGAATTAACGACTTTTGACCGTATGATAATAAGTGTAATATTATAGTCATTTCAAATTACTGCAAGAATGTTTCATTATTATTCGAATAATAATAACAAAAAGCTATGTATAATTATAGTGAAGTATAGATATTAAATAATACAAAATATTAAATAAATTTTAGAATCACCTATTTACTATAATTACTACAATTTAATGAAAAAAGGGTAGCTGTAATTTTTTTTTTTTTTTTTTTTGTGTGTGTGTGTGTTTGTTTTAACGTTTTATTGCATATTTTTTAATAATGAAAAAACAGTGACATATTTTTGTTAAAAATGGAAAGTAAACTCCTTAAAAAGACTGATTTATTAATATATCAACTATATTTAATGTTAAAAATCTGTGTATTAAAATTTCAGATGAAACTTTCTTTTGACTTAGGATTTATGTTTTTCTAGGTATGGAATGCTGGTCTGAGGGTTCTCTATGCTATAGGACAATGGCCAGGCAATACTCATGATGCATTTATATGGAGTGGACTGAAACAAAATCTAGATAGTATTTTGTCGCATCGTGCATATCTTTGGGAGATAGTGGATTATATTCCCATTTTATCACGGGAATATCTCTATAATGAGAAGCACAGAAAAGTTCGTGCAGCTATAGAGATCAAATCAAGATTTAGGGTACTGCACGATACTGGTGGAACACTATTGTATTCACAAAGCAAAATATGTAAAATGGTCATATCTGGTGGCCATTTTACATAATATATGCTTAAGGTATTGTGTTGAAAATCCTGAGATTGATGTGTTTGAAGATGATGAGTTGGTACCTTCAGAAAGTTTTCAGTCAGTGCATGTTGAAATTGCATTGCACAATGAATTATCTTTAAATTTTGAAACTCGATAATAAAAACCCAAAGTGGGCAACAATGAACCTCTGGCAAAGGTGAAACCCCCTTCATGGATAATAAAGACCCACAAGCCATGGTTTATATTTAAACCTGTAACTAAATGCACAACCCTAAATGATTTTAATTGATAATAATAATCCTAAATAATTTTATTAGTCCTGGTTTCAAATGCATACTGACAACTTTTATCATTATTGTTCTTCCCTCTGAATTTCTTGTTTCCATCATTTATGTTTAAAAACTCTTGACTACCAGAAATAACTTAATAGGCTCGATATATATATATATTTAGTGTTGGTATGCCAGTCATGATTGGTATAGTACAATAGTAAGTCACTATAAATTAGCATTGCACTTAATTTATCTTAAACTTAGCAATAAGATTTACTGCACCGAAATTCAGTTTCTTCCAAAAAGTCAAATGTTTCCCTTTCGTCCCCTTCCGTGGGACAAGATAGAAAATTTCCATGTGACAATACACATTTAATAGCATAAGAACTTCATGCTTATTTATTATAGTATAAATTAAAACTGACATATTCTGTCAAAGATATTTAAATGTATTTCCTAAAACAATATTTCATTCACTCTATACTGTTTATGTATTATGTTTATCTATACTGTTTATGTCTTCTTGGGGTGGGCAAAACAAATATTGGACAGTTCAATTTTCCTCCACCATTCCTGTGAGCGTATTCTTCGATTAAGCAGGGTTTTGCTCCAATTCCTGATTAGCATAATATGTAAAGAATAAACAGCCTATGATTTATGCCTCCATATCCTCTTGTATTATTTAAAGAACATACATTTTTCTTTTAATTCTAGATTTTAAAACATTAAAGTAAGGGAAAGATTGTTTGCTGAATTTAGATTTATATCATCATTACGCATTCACTATAATAACTTACTGCATACTTACCTCAGTGGGTTTGCCATTAAAAGAAATACATTTAAGTAAAATCATGAGTGTATAATAAATTGTTTTTCAGCCAAAAAAAAGAGAAGGGGGAAAATAAATACAGTTTGATTCACCTAATTTTTAGTAGGCGACTCAACATTGTTATTGTAAACTAGACATTAGCCATACTTTAATAGTTGTCATCTCTGTATTTTTAGAACTTCGAAATTAGAATGTCAATTTTATCTGCCATTGTTATGGAGCTGTAGGATATCGAATGTTATTTCTTCAATGATAAAAAGAAATGAAATTTTTAATACCACATCTCATTCATATAACTTATTAACATAATTGAAAAACAATTTAATTCATTTCGTGTTATATCTGAAAATTAAAATTTGTAATACATTGACTAAAGATTCTTACAGGTCTTATTCCCATTTTCCTCCAGGAAAAAGATAATTGCTGTGTAAAATGCATAAATATTTTCACGAGACTTATAATAGTGGTATTAGAATTATTATAATGTTTATGTCATATAATGGATCTGTGAATTTCTTTTAAATAATTTTTATAATCACAAAAATTTTATAAAATTAAGAAAGTAGTAAATTTTACAATTAAAATATGAATCCCACACTGCAGAAATACATACAAGAATGAAAACACTGTAATATTTGAAATGCATGATTTATTTTTTTAATAAATTAATAATTAGATTTTGATTTTCTATGACAGCAGACTGATTTGCAACTGATTGCTTATACAAGTCACATATTTCACACAGTACATTAATATATTCTTCTGCGTTTCAATTATTCCCTTTTCTGCAGCTGTAATATCATCTCTCTTCCTTTTTTCTCTTCGGTCTCCTGCTTCGAATAGTTGAGCTTCTATCTGAAGGAAAATTTTAAAATATTCATTCAAATTCAAATGTTCTTAATTTTTATATTTCATAATGTAAAACACTTTTTATAATTAATTAAACAATGAAACTTCTCTAAAAGGAACAATTCATAATATTGATTTCTTTAACTTTCAATTTTTTTCCCTTTATAATTTTTAAGACTGTTTATAGATCAAGAGGATTTAATGATTATTATTTTAAATTCTTAAAATTTTGTTGTTAATAAAAGACATACTCTGTATATAATGTTCGCAATAAAGAATTGAAATAACTCTTTTGTATGAGAAATATTAATTTACATCTGTTATAATTAATTTATACCAGCGGTTCTCAGCCGGTGGTATGCAAAGAAACAAAATATTTTTAACTATGAAATTCAAAAATCTCATAAAGAAAAGAATAGTTAATAGAAATTTCCTTTGATCGAAATTGACTTGAAGATTTGGAAAATGACACACTTGTTAACTTTTGGCTGAACCCAAAAAAAAAAAGAATTTAAAGGCATTTCAAATAAAGCTATCAAATTTGTATTGTCTTTTCGCACAACCTGTTTGTGTGGAAAAATGATTTTTTCCATGTTAAATTTGAAATACTCATCAAAATAAAAAGTGGATCCTAATTTACCATTAAATGAAATAAGAGCAGACATAAAGACATTAAATATTAAAGTATTATAACTGAAATTTTGATAATCAAGTGAATAATTAATTTAATTAAATTTAATTTTGATAAGTAATCATCAGTTTTTAATCTAATAGTTTTTTATGTGTACATATTTAATACAAAGAGTGTGCAAATGGCAATATATATATAGATATATATGTTTTTTAATATTTCTATTGAGGAATTGAAAAATAATCATTGTAAAATTAGTGGTAGTATTAATGTTTTTCAGTTTTTGCTTAGATGGTACACTACAGTCAAAAGGTTGAAAACCGCTGATTTATACCATTAAAGTTTTTCTGTTGGGAGGAAAAGGAAAAGAAGAATACAGAAAACATTAGATTTTATGTAATAGATACAAACTTGTCAAATAAATGCCATTGCAGATTTCCTCGTGATAAAGGTGTGGAATTTTCTAATGTAAAAAAAAGCAAATAAAAAAACACAATTTACTCAACAATCTTGACTGAAATATACATGCTTTCAGAGATAGCATAAAGCAAGAAAAGTTTACTCAACAATCTTGATTGAAATATACATGCTTTCAGAAATAATATACAAAGCATACTGCATAATCAAAGTTATGAGTTTATATACTATGAGATACTATACATGTTTATAATATACCACGTTCCTGTACACCAAACACCTCGTCCACAATTTTCTATACAATTCATTGAAGATAGTTCCTGAAACATAACTGACCTAAGAGAAACATGCATACTTCTAATTTATGCATAATAATTTGACAAACATTGATTTCAGGTAAAGAGCTACATGTATTATATCAAAGAAAGAATGAATAAGTGTAATTTGCCTTTATCCTACAAATACTTAAAAACATTTACGTTAAAAAAAATGAATTATACATAATGGTAGCAAATTTTTAATGAAAAACAAAACAAGAGTTGAAAACTTAATGCAGTTTTGTCAATATTTTACTCTCTTAAAATTTATATAAATGTATAGAAACTTGAAATGCATACCGCATTTGGCTGGAAAAACTTGTGGCATTGTGTTGCACTCTACGGAAAGGAAAAAAGTATACAATGAAGCAATCATAAGAATAAAAGATATTTGCATATTATTGAAAGCATCTTAATAAAAGTTACCAAATTTTCAAAAATGTGCCAAACTTGTAGCAATGATTATGTATCAAAATTTTTCAGGTAACATGCTCATAACAATTTTTCATTCAAACAATGTCACCATTTTCATATGTGTTTCTTATGTTGTATTTCAAGTTCCAATGGATTTTAGATACGAATAGTTGTTTTAGATTAATTTCAGATTTAAAATACTGCTTGTGGAGCTTACCATCAAAAGACAAAGCTGTGTTAAAAGTTCTGCAGGAATAGAACATTTTAGTACAAAAATTTCTAATGGAAACAACTATGAGATGAATTTGGTACATAGACAAGGCAGGCAGTATCAAGTTTATGTAATTCTCTGATTTTTTTTTTAAGTGAAAACAGATCACTTGGCACAAGTGCTAAAAAATTAGACAAAAAATTTGTGGAAAATGTATTTTTTTTTAAACTATCATATAATTTTTATTTAATAATTCAAATTAGTATTTTAAAATTTGTTAAATGTTTTTTCCTTTGATATGTTGATAACATTTTGCCAACTTAGATAAATATTGATAGTTTGGTTATGCTAAAAGCAAGCTGCAAAAACAACGTACTTCTCCTGATAAGTGTTTTTCTCTTTTCGTTTATACAGACTACCAAACTGATCCAGGTGTTTGTGTTAATACATAAGTACCAAAAAATATTGAAGAATGCACAATGAAAGATGGCAACCAGTATGGTAAAAGATATAATTAATATATGGAATGAAAGAAATCTTATTAAAAGACGACTTTCATTATCAGCAGAGAAGCATGACACAGTTACAGTAAAGAAATTAAGCTTTTGTTTCTGCACTTGTAGCTTTTAATAGCCAAAAATTGTTTTTGAAATTTTATGAAATAAATAAATCTGAACATAACTGATATCAAATGAGAATGGGTCCAAACTTTCACTTAAGAAGCAGAAAGTGTACTGTAAATGCACAATATAATGAGCAGAACACAAAGCATAATTTATAAATTAACCTTTACTCTGCATGTATATATTACATTAATATCACATTAGAATTATCAGGGTTTCATATAATTTTTTATTTATTGTATTACATTGAAATACCTTTAATTTCATTTTTATATTTTCCCAACGATGTACAATATAAATCTAAAAATGTCTCTTAACTGTTTCATCACATAATGAATGTCTAAGGGAAGGAATGCCTGCGTGGAAGACTAAGGAAAACTTAGTATTCATGTTATACGTTGAAAAAATGAAGAAAACACACATGCAGCCAGCTTTTTCACCTGGATTTAAAAAGAGACTGGGATAGCGGTGTTCAGCAGGCTTATCTGCTTGTAGATAGATGGGCTTATTAATTACTATATAATTCAAGAACTAGTTAATTTTCATATGGTAAACATGCCTACTGTCACTGAAGAATCATGCATCTGCATTAAACAATAAAAATATAACACAAATTTGAATTTTAAATTAAACTTACTATTAGAAGAATTAAAACCAAATGCTGTAATTTGAAAATGGGAAAAAAAATGTGGTTTATATTTGAAAAAGCAAGGATTTTTGTCTGAAAGTAAAATATATTTTACACACACCTGTTGCTCTAGATTACTTTGGAGGGAATTTTCTATAGGATAAAGTTGTACACATTAAATACATGTTGTACACATTAAAAGAAATATACATGTCTGTATATTTCTTTCGTTTTCAGGACTGGAACAATTCGTTACACCACACTACAACGCAGTAAACACTTGACCATAAGCTCAGAGAAATCATGGGAACTGATGTTTTTTGTTTACATCGACACGCAGTCTCATTGGATATTGATGTAGTTTATCGGACAAGCTCTCCTGGCACGAGAGCAAACCAGCTCCCCATTGCAATTTTGACGTCATCAGTTACCAGAGCGGTAAAGCGTTGCACTTGAATTCGACTTTAGCAGACGATAGCAGGAACGCCTCTTGCGAGCTAACATTTGCAATTTATCAGAGCGTTGCACTTGAATTCGCCCCTAACTGGATTTCCATTATTTTCAATGCAGAAATTTGTATCTATATACGAGAAATTCTCTATACGAACTCAATACTGGAACGAATTAAACTCTATCTCGAGGTTCCACTTTATATTGCAATTCCACGTAATCATCCGCTTCAAGTTGAAAATATAATGAATTTTTTCTGAGCTTTGGCCAGCGTAAATCACTGTGTAACTGAGACCGTAAATTTAACCGGTTCTTGTTTGTTTATGCGATGTTTCCTCAAAATAATTTTTGATTTAAAAACCACGCGATTTTAAATAACATCATATATTGATCCTTATTTCAGTATCTGTTTGATTTATTTTTTCCTCTAGCTAGATTTTAATATATACAAAATATATGATTATAGGTTCTTATAAGATGTAATGAAAATTTAAGGAATTTGTTCGATTTCTTATTAACTCTAATATTCTATAAATTTAATATGAACTATTAAAATTCTTTCGTATTTATTAATCATGCATTGTGGGTAAAATTTTCATTATGTAAAAACTTTAGTTCAGCCGATGAAGTTAGTGTATATTTTTTAATATTGTTTTATTTATTGCATTTTTGATGCTGTTTTTCCATTAACTATTTAAGCATTTTGTATTGAAAAAGAGCATCGTAATGATTTTGAAAAGGTTTTGTTATGTGTTAACAATAAGAAGGAGGCAATACTTGGTACAGATATTAGAATCAAAATTTATGGCATATGCAAAAGCTAATGCATCTTCTTTCACACTTAAAAAAATTATGATTTCATGTGGTATTATGTTAAATGGCCATTAATTTTATGATAAATGTCAAGCGGTGTACGTTAAGAAAATAATTTTTGATTTTATATCAAGCAGTGTACGTTAAGAAAATAATTTTTGATTTTATATCAAGCAGTGTACGTTAAGAAAATAATTTTTGATGTAAGGTATACTTATTTCTGTATTAATTTGAAATATTTTCATGTATTAACACTCATTGATCATTGATTTCTGTCATTAGTAATGAATAAGCATTATGAGAAGCTGCAATTATGCCTTCTTAACTTTCCACAGCCGTAGGAATACCACTTCATTTCTGTTTCTTCCTCAAAACTATACCTTTTCAAAAATGTGATCATGATTTAAAAATTGCTGCATTGTTTAATTTTTTTAATCATAACTAGTGCTTAAATTGTGCTGGAGCTCACCAGAGCTCTCCTCCAGTACTTCTCAGTTTCAAAGATAAATCATAATTCTAGTTGAAGCATACTGCATCCATAAAAAGGATGAGCTCAAGCACTTCTTTTTTTATGCAGTGGAATAGCAACCAATAATACTAACTTTTGAATGTATGCTTATCTTTGCCAGGGAAACAAAACCTTTGGATGGAAGCTGAGGCATTTGATGGAAGAAAAATCACAACCCACATGTTGAAAGAAAGGGCAATTATCTTTCATGCTCCTAAATGCATACTCACAGGCAGTACGCCTAACATAGTGAAATATTAGTATAAACAGCTGAAACTTGTATAAGATAGTGACTATGGAAAAGAATGCCTGCAAACTCCCTGAATAAGTACCGTATTTGACGGCATATAAGACACACTTTTTTTCCTAAATTTGGTCTCAAAAACGTTACCTGCGTCTTATACGTGAAGGTAATTGCATTCAATAATTGTTTATTTGGCTTTTACGAAGCGTGAGAACTAAAAGAAATCACGCGATTGAAACTTTTTCCCCTTGTGTGTAGCCGTCTAAATAAGGGTGCGTCTTATATGCCGTCAAATACGGTAATCAAATATGGCAAATAAAAATGGTCACTTCTGCAGAAGCCAACATTCGTTCTCAGCTTGCAGATGAACCCACTGATTTGGCTGATCTTCTGCCCCATGACATATTATGCTTGACAGCTATAATTTTGTCTGTAGAGATTATGATCAGGAAATTATTTTATTCTTCTCTCATTGCTTCATCATTACATTTTACTTCATTGTTCTCATACTATTTCTGGCATTCTGTTTATTCACAATAGTGATGCCTCAATTGTTTTGCTTTTTTTTTTTTTTTTTTTTTTTTTTTTTTTTTTTTATTGGGAAAAGAATGATTTGTATTTCTGGTTGATCTTTACATTATGGTAACTTGGCGATTTTTTGGCAAAAATTTGGCAACCAACTCTCCTACAGCAACCCTCTATTTTTTTTTCCCCGCTGCCATTTTGTCTTCACGAAGTAAAGACATGTTTCTTTTCTTTTATTACTGAACAACACTTCTTCCAACAATCTAGTAGCCAATTACACTTATGCTAGAATTTTATCAAACAAAACTGCTTAATCATGACAAATATTCACTGCAAATTGGGAAAAAGTGCACAATACCATACTCCTTACGCGTTTTTTCAAAATAACACATACCACCATGTACACGTCGACTTATTTTTACTTAAAAAAACATCCCAGAATTGCACATTGCACAAATCTTCGCTCTCCTTCATGACAATCACGCAAAATGGGTACAAAACCATATTACGCGTTTCAAATAACCATGTCGCTAGTTTTTACTTAAAAAAATCCAGAATTGCCACAATGGCATTGCGCACAACTCTGCACTAATCCATGTACACTGCTTTTTTCTCATAAATTAGAAAATTTCACGAAAATACATGACAATTTTCTCAATCTTTAAACCCGGTAAAAAAAAAACATATATGAAATTACCTGATCGCGAAAAAGTATTTACCCTTTCAATAGAACATTTCCACATATAAAATAAATAAAATATCCAAAAACTTTTACCTCTAAATCATCTATTACATTATACACGTCACCAACGAATTCATACCGCAAGCATTTACAAATACTTAGTATCAAATATTTAAATTATTTCCATGCACGTTTACTTCAACTTAAACATATACCAAATTCCTACAAACATAAAATTCACAAAATAACTATCATTTAATTAAAATATAATTAAATTCAAAAACACTACTTAAAATATAAATGAGCACATACATTAAATTAATAAAAATTACCTTACAATCCTAATTACTTTAAACTAAATCATTGCTAATAACAATTTCCCAATAATACCAATTCCTTTACTTCCACCTTACATTTAGAAACAATGCATAAAATAATATCCACAAATAATTAAAAATACTAACTTACCTAATCTTCTTCAGAATCTTGATTACGTGTCCGATAAACTTTTCTTTAGTTACGGCCATGGGATCCAAAAATTCACGAACACTGTTTCACACAACACAGAATAAACCAAATACAAAATTTCCAGATTTTTCCCGATTTCCCCCCTTTTCCGATTAAAGAACCGTAATTCGTCCATTAATATCACTGACATATCCCATGATCTCTCATTTCCCTCACAAAAAAATAATGCGTAATTGGAACTGAGTACTGCTCACATTATTACCAAAGTCCCAGGTAGTAACCTTTATCGCCTCCAAAATGTCGCCAAACTACCAGTTACCATACTGTAAAGATCAACCGTATTTCTACCATCCCTTGATATGGTATATTGTATTGTACTGGGCTGGGTACTAGTGCTGTGTTCAGTATACTGAGTAATTTTTTAATCAAATTGTAATTTCAGCTGATATTTCAAATAAAATGAAATTCAGTATTTTATTTTTTTATTACAGTGGTTTGCTTTTTTTAAAGCCACTTCTGTTTTTAATGTTTATTTGCAAATATCAGTTATTAACTATTAGTGATATGACTTTTTTTCGTGCTTACTAATCTTTTTTTAAAACCTGCTTGTTTTTGAAAACATTATTCAAAATGTGTTTGGTTTAAAAAAAGTACTTTATTCAAAAGTTCTGAAAATGAACTTATGTAAATATTCAGACACTTCGAGTTAAACTCTTTATATTTAATAAAAACAAGAAAATAATAGAACATTCAATGCTGCTTTAGCTAAAATTATACTCTTCATGCATTTTGGCATGGATTTAAATAATTTTTTTGAGTAAGAATATTCCATTCCTTTGGATGTCATGTTTACTTGTTCTTTTCTCCAGTTTGTTCGATACATGTTAAGTAGGAGTTAAGTCTGAAGAAGAATGTAAAGAAATTTTGTTAAATTTAGGATAGCTGGGTAATAACTACATACGAACACTTAAGATAATTATCCTGATATATCTTGAATATATTTTGCATTCCAAAATTTCCCTCAGAATCTTTCAGATTTTTGTTAAAAATTACATATTTATACTGATTCATAGCATTTCTATAAAATTTAAATTTCTCATTGCAGAGGCAGTCAAACATACTTAACTCTCTAAGTGTAATGACCAACTTCATTTGGTCATGAGATTTTTTATGACTTAATACGTATTAGCTTGTAATTTAAGAAATTTTGCTTTCATACATTCTTTAATAATGTCCCTTTAATGAATGTAAAATTATGAAGAAAAGGAGTAAATTAAATAATTATACAGATTTAGCTAATGAATTCTATTTAAATACACAAGTTTTTATGACAGAGCGAAAAGTTTGTGCTGCTGAGAGGGTTAAACCGTTGTGCTTCCACCTTCTCGTTTAACAGTAGACAGTAGGTTTTTTTCAGATTCAGTTCTATTTGGCTTTCACCACGCAGAAATTTATCCAGTGTACCCAACTATATTAAATGTTGACATCTCTGCAAATAAAACATTATTTAAATCTTCGCTTACAATGGATTAATGAGTGCATGCATGTTCTCTTTTTGACAATGAATTTTCTTCTTGCTGATCGCCCATTGTATATGCCGTAACTTCTGTTCTAACAGTAGCATATTCTAACAGTAGCATTCTAAATCTGCTACAGGTTATGTAGCAATTATTTTTAAGTTTTGTTTGATTCTTCATACAATAAAGCTCAGATTCCTTGGTGTTAGTTTGGAATGGGATCTAGACTTTAGCTTATTTTGAGCAGTTTCATGCAGTGCCTATCATTTTAATAATACATCTGTGGTAGCTGAATGCTTTGAATCAGGCATTTTTTTAATACTTTTGCCATCTTTAAAATCATGAATAAGGAAATTTCTAACAGAGTTTGTCATTAATTTGTAAAGCCTTACCATGTTCACTTCAGATGTGGATTTATGAAAACTAAATAGGACAAGAAAAATTGTCCTCTGAAACATGTCAGCAAAACTTTCGAGTGTTGAAATTATTATCGATTTACTTATTAACACTTATATATATATATATATATAGCCAGATAATTTTGATTATATTATTTGTAACAAGCAAGTTTTAAAAATATAGAAATAAATATATTAAGAAAAATTTGGAGTGTATGTTTGAACAGTTAGTACAAAAATACACTCCACATTTTTTCAAATACATATAAATAAACAAATAAATAAATAAATTTCAACAATACAAGTGTTCAAAAACAAGTGTGAGCCACTGTACTGAAATATTTGTCATTGTTTTAATTTATTTTTTATTTAGCTCTTTACATTAATTTAATTATAAATTATTTATTTAATTAATTGATTTTTGTTAATTTTTCAGATCTCACATAATGTTTCGGCACCGGTATCTTTAGAAATCTCTGAACTGCATCAGTGTTTAAAAAAATATAATCTAAACTATTCAGTAATCACATGGAATTGCAGAAAAAGGATATTTTCATTTATGCAACTTAATGCAAAAGTAAATCATGTATAAATATGAAATGTACTAATATGACACAGTTGCTAATTTGAAACATTGTACTATAATTATGCCAGATTGGCCTAAGTAAAATTAGAAGAGTGGTATTAAATTATTTTCATTAACTAATTTTAGGATATTAGATGGAAGAGCTTTTCTCCAATTTAAACTTTAATCATTGATACAATTTAGCATTTAGCACCAATTTCAAATAAAAAGGTGAATCTTATTTTGAAATTAAAAATGTCAAAAACAAGTTTATGAGGTCATGCAAGGGCTGCACACTCCATGAGACTTGTTAATCATTAATGAATTTTTAAAAAATAGTAAATGTACACTTCAAAAGTTTTTAAAAGATGGGCCTCCTACTTTATAAATCTGCTAATGGTAATATTCTACCGTCTTCTTGTTGTTAGTTTTTCTGAAATTTATTTCTGAAGTAATTTATTTTCATAATTTATTCTGTAAAATAGTGAACATATCACTTTTATTTCAGAATTTTATATGAATGAATTTATTGATAAATGCTAAATAATGTTAATTGAAAATTATATGTACTTTTTTATTTATTTGTTTTTATTTTAATACATTTTGGTTGTAATTCTTATAAAATTTCTTGTTTAATCCCTCCCCCCATGTAGTATTTTATAATGTTATAAATCAGTGAAAACTGGCATATGCCATTAAGGATATAATTTCTTACAAAATCAGTTATTTTCATTCCTTATACATTGTTCTGCATACAGAGGTAAGATGAATAAATTAATATTTTACTAAACCATACAATTAATATTTAATTAAAAAATATTAATTGAATTCCCAACATGTTGTTTGCTACAACTGATTATTCATAAAGACTTTTGTAGCAATGATAAATTTTGAATTATAATTTTGTATTAATCCATATTAATTATCAGAGACATCATTCATTTATTTACATTATGAAATTTAATTTTTGTAATAAAATATTAAAAATGCACTTTTTAATAAGTTATGAAGCAGATTTAAGGAGAGCTGGAAGTTAATTTCATGGTCCTGTTTGGATTTATATCAGAAAATAATTTTTTTCCCCTCTCATTTTGTTATATATAAATATTTCTTAAAATTTGATTGAAAGGCATATTCGTTTTTTTTTTATTTAAATTTAGCAAGCGTATTTAAGAGAAAAGTATGTTTTTACTTTCTTGAAGCTTAATTTACTTTTCTCAACATTGCTGTCTCAATTTCATTAACAATAGGTTTGCATGTTTTTCTGTGAAACATTTTTAAATTTTCACTTCTGTTAATGTTCTTTTTTTTTTTTTTTTTTTTTTTTTTTTTTTTTTTTTCTATTTTTAGGAGAGCCAGAGTTTTTTATCCAAATGCCAAATATCAATTTGGAATGATAAATGTTTTGTTAAATTATTGAATATTTTGTGACAGTGATTTTTAAAATTATGTCTCTGTTTTATATGCAAATGATTAATAATATTAATTTATTATATTTGATAATTTAGAAAAGTGTCTATTCATGAGAATGTTTTGATTATGAGAAATATAAAAAAAAAAAATATGTTTAACTATTTTATATATATTGATATGTAAAAATTGATTTTACATTTTATATATGTTTACTTGTAATATATAAGTATTATCAATTAGTTAAAATGTTATTTAAGCTATTTTTTAGTTTTATTAAATGAATTCATACACTATTTGCTTTAAATTGAATTAATGTTAAAATAATTGAAAGCTTTGTTTTGTTTCATTAGTTACGTTTGTTACCAAATTAGTATTAATTTAAGTATAACTTTTCTTTGTTTTTATTTTTCATTATAAAAATATAATACAATGTTTTTTAAATGTGTTTAATTAAGCTTCTTTCTTTATCTTGTATATTGATGTGTAGTGAAATACTTGTTGTTGACTATTGTAAACTCTTATGATACAAAAGATTATCAGATACAAAGATAGATTAAATCAGATTTCATGCAATTCTCCTATAAATTTGATTTTTCTGTTTAACATACCAGTGTTCTTGTAACATCGTGCTGTTACTTATTTTAAGGCGTATTTCCTCCCCCATAACTAAAATATATATATAGGATTCATAGAAAGCAATTAAAATATCCAGTTAAATAATAAACCTGATTTTAATTGCATCCCAGTATTGTTAACTGTATTCCATCGCTGACATTTTTTTTTTTTTTTTTTTACTGAAGTATTTAGAAGCAGTATTTTAACAAATTAAACACATTTTTTAATTAATTCAACTAAAAAATAGTGAATATTTTATGAATGTAAGTTATTATAGTTTCAGTCATTATCACTGAAGCAAAAAATTTTTTTTTTAAATTAAAAATTTGTGTTAACTCATATGTTGCCCGACCGGGATAATGGTTAGCAAGGCTGACTTCCATACCAAAGGGCCCAAGTTCAAGTCCCGAAAAAGGCATGGATGTTGGCAAATGTATAGTGTATGTGCAGCATGGGGCACACTAAATGTGCAGCAAGCCAAAAGTCCTCTCGAGAGGTTAGTGGTAGTGGAAGAGTGTGGCAGACCCCCCCCCAGTGCTCTCCATCAAAATTGGGAGCAGAACTGAGTTGTCGTACTGTCACTTGTATGGTGCTCAAGGCTCTTGCCAACGGCAGGCGCAATCTTGCACTTGCCACGATGAATTTCATGGGCTTGAGCTGATGTTACTGTCAGACAAATGAGACAAGTCGTAACACAGCAACTAAATTTTAAACATATGTAATCAGAAAGAAAATGAAAAAATATATATGTGTATATAATTCCTATCCTGTAGAGGCAGTATTTAATATTTTTTTAATAGTTTTGTATCCTGCTGGTTTGTTAAATGAAAAGTAAAATGTTTTATGCCTTCAGAAGATTTACAGAATTTAATTTCCATATCTTAATTCCTGTTATAAATGTTTATGTTTTTTTTTTTTTTTTTTTTTTTTGTTATCATGTAGGTCTTGGTCTAATCACAAAAACAGGTTCACATATGAAGCCTATCAACAATATTATTTTGCCAATGACACTGCCTCATGTTCCCCAACTATTTCTCATTAACAGTGGTGTATGGGAACAACGTAGTGAAATGGAGATTGTTAATGATAATATGATAAATAATGATCCATCTCAAATTAAACAGGAAGAACCTGAAGCTGACGTATCAACAACAGTTCCAAAACGTTAGTATTTTAACTTTGTTCTATTCATGAGCATCATTTTACTTAAGGATGTGGATGAAATGTGTATTTATAAGTATGGCATGTTTCCCCTCCCCCCTTTTTTTTTTTTGCAAAAAGCTTTTATAGCGTAATTGGTAGAATACTTCTGTATGTACATGCATTAGTAGTAGTGATAACAGGGAAATGTTTTTTATTATTTTTCTTTATGGTGTTTATAGTAATTATTTGGCTACTCTTTAATTATCTGCAACCAAAAAGATGTGAACTCAGCAACTCTGGAAGGCATTCACAAATTCAATGCCATCTAATTTTCTCTTTAAGCTAATGCACAAAATTCAGTAGCCATTTCCAAAATGGCGGGTGCACTAAGAACTCAGTGTAAAAGTAATTGATAAATAAAATTAAAAAAAAAAAAAAAAGAAAGAAAACATCAATAATAAAGCACTTCAGTTTTTTCAAGAAGTCCTGTTTTGTGCTTTTGTTCTCCTCTTGCACGCAGTGTTCGGTTTTTGCTTCAGAAAATATCAGAATTGTATAAATTCAGCATTGTACAACTTTGGCATTCCACACCAGCCAAAACAAACTTGTGCTATGTGCATACTTAAGTTGCTACATAAATAACCTTTTCGTGACATTGTGGGTTGCCACATAAATAATTTGGTGATATACTGTTTAGCCTCATAAATACTTTTTCATGTCTTTTGGTGGAAGTACAGATACTGAGAAAGTAGCATAATTTTTTAAACATGAAGATATTTGAATTGAGAGCTGTATTCATAATTGTTTAAACATGAAGGTACATGAATTGAAAGCTATGCTCAAAATGATAAGTTTTGCAATCTGCTTTTTGACTCAAAATTATAAAATTGAGTAATTTTATTGCTCTGAAGAAATAAAATTATCTTAGTTAAGAGCTTACGGGAGGTAATCCAAAATGCTAGACGAAATGATCCAGAAATTGAAGGACTGACTACTGTTAGCTCGCAGGAAGGCATTGCTACAACTCTGAAAAGAAACAGGGTTGTTCAGAAATGGTTATCATCATGCTGAAAGGGAGGAAGAAAGCTTTATGGATACTGTATTTCTGTGATCCATGGAAATGCCTAATCAAGGTAAAAGAATGGCATGCTACTGATGTTTCAGAAATTTCTTCAGGAGAATCTAGCTGTGACTTAGTTCTAAAAACAATTATGGTTTCCACTGTTAGTATATGTCACTTTTTGAAATTCTAATATTTAAGCAAATAAAAATTCCAATGCAATACATTAATAACGCTTTCATTCTAAGAAGAACAGTGCAGCCACATTTAGTTATTTTTTTTGGCAACCACATGATTTCACAGGGACTTTGCCCACTATTCTTGCTGCCAAATTATTTTTATGAGAATACAGTCAAAAGTCGATAATTCGGACACCCATAATCCGGACCTCAAAGCTAAAAACTCTGCGCATGTGCCGCGTTGATGCATGCGCATAGGCGTTTACGCGTGCACGTAAGACCTTTACGACTGCGCATATGTGTGTGCGTAAGCGCAGAATACGTTTTCACGTGCACGTTTAATGTATAACGGACGGTATAAGCTAAAATTATCTAATTATCTATTTTGGTTAATGTTGATGATTGCGTTGTTCCTTAGTCTTCGAATTGGATCCGGCTTATTATTTTTTGCAGACTGTAAGAGCAATTTTATAAAAGTAAGCTTGAACTTTCGATTATGTCAAATAGAATTTCCAATGCTGGAGTTCCCAAAGGATCTATAAAACAAAAGTATGTTTCGATGTCCATCAAACAGAAAGTGGAATTGCTGGATAAAGGCATATCCTTTATTTATCTAACCATTCCGAAATCTGTTTATCAATTTCACGCTGCTCTGCGTGGGGGGGGGGGGACGTCGTGGCACGCAATGAACTGGAAGTTGATCTGTCAGCACTATCGTTACCTTCAGGGCAGATGTTTTTATTTTATTCGGCTTATAGTTCCGACTAAATGCAGTATTTCATCTCGATGTGCTCCGTCTTTGATATGATCTAAATCAAATTCCTCGTCATTATAAATATCACAAATACAAATCAAATAGTTTTCTGGTTGCAATTTTCTAATTTCGGCTATGCGTAATGTATGCTTTACGCATGCGCGCGTTGAAAGAAATGTTTAATAAAATAAACAAATAAATATTAAGCTTTTTTTTTTTTTTTTTTGTAAATTTTGATACCCTTTAGGTCATAATTGCTCATTATTTTATAAATTACGGTTTCATGTTTTTAATTTTATAATTTCTGCATGCCATCTTACCAGATTTAAACTGATGAATCGGAAAAAATCGATAATTCGGAATCGCTGAAGTCCCGACGAGTCCGGATTAAAGACTTCTGACTGTATCTGAAAGGGAGAGTTTATGCAAACAAGACATAGATCCTTTAGAAGCAAACACAAAATGGCAAGGCAACGGTAACAGTGGATATACCAGCGTGAGCATTCCAAGCACTGAGTTCAGTATTGTCTGTATACAACTTCTTGCATATGTTATTATGTCATCATTCACCATATTTACCACAAAGTTAGGTCAAATTTCATTGTAAAACATCTGATGACATCATAATGTGTGTGCTGGAAAAGCCATCCTTTGTATTTAGATAATATTGCCTTAGGCTCACCATATTTTGAAATACAGTGAAGCCATGAAATGTCATTGTAAGATGTGTTTAACTTATCATGGTGACGTACCGTAGGCCTTATAGATTTTATTTACACTCTAATCATTGTTTACATGTTAGCTTCTTATCATTGATTGTTTATAAGTCTATGATTCTAATTTTTTTACTTAACATAAAAGATTATCTGCCTAGTATATACAATAATCACAAGGATTTCAAATAATTATTTTAAATTTAGTAAAATCTAAGTAAATAAAAATGTGTAAATGGTAACTATAAGAAAAATGTGTATACGGTAAAATGTGGAAGATCATTGAAAGCTTTAATGGTGTTTTATGCAAATTATGCCTAAAGGCTCCTTTCTGACCTTCTGAGCTTGAATGTAACCTTTTTGAGGTTTTAAAAAGACATCTATCTGAGCTCAAAATACCTTTCTGAAGACCCCTTCTGAGGTACCTTTCTGAGCGTGCATACATTGAAAAAAGACACCTTTCTAACGACACTTTTCTAAGCCTATCTGAACCATTCTGACAAAAAGACACCTTTTTGAGCCTGCAACACCTTTCTGATCACTTTTAAGCCCACATTCTGAGCCAATGTGCATTAATAAGACACCTTCCTGAGCTTATATATGCTTATATTTGCTCTCAAATTCTACGTAGGTTGTTTCCAACCTCCGATCGCACAGTATGATGGCCAGGTATGCGGCAGGTGGTTGGTGTGCTTAGTAGGCGACTGCGCATCTCCCCCTCCACACGCTCTGTCGTTGAGTTGCAGTCACATAAATATGGCTGTCGCTATTGATTCTCCCGCCCAAGTGTGAATTGCGAACTGTTATTCGTTTCTTGCAGGCAGAAGGGAACAGTGCAGCGGAAATTCATCAAAGAATCAGTCGAGTGTATGGAAACAGCTTTATGAGTGATGGCATTGTCCGTGAATGGTGTCGAAAATTTAAAGATGTCCGAACTGATGTGCATGATGAAGGGGATCAAGGATGCAAGTCTGTTGCTGCAGATGACATTGTTCAACGAGTTGACCAAGGGGTTAAGCAAAATCGAAGGTTCACCATAAGTGAATTATCAGTAAAATTTCCGGAAGTTTCAAGATCTTCCCTGTACTCTATCGTTACTGAACATTGCGGTACAGAAAGTTGCGCTCGCTGGGGTCCCCACAGATGTTGACTGACAACCACAAAATTCGCCGAATGGTTGTAGCGTTTGAGTTTCTTGACCGTTACAATACTGATGGAGAAGAGTTTTTGAAATCCATTGTGACAGGTGATGAGACATGGGTTCAATATGACACGCCCAAAACGAAACGACAGTCACAACTATGGATTCTCCAGAGAGACCCACAAAATTCAAACGAACCTTTAACAAACGTAAGGTTATGGCAACTGTTTTTTGAAACCAAAAATGTGTGTTGCTTGATGAGTTTATGCAGCCTGGAACAACAATTAATGCAGATTCATATTGTGAAACTTTGCGACGCTTACGGAGAGCTATTCAAAACAAACGAAGAGGCATGCTGACTTCTGGAATTGTTCTGATCCATGACAATGCCCGTCCTCACAGAGCTCGTGTAACCCAACGGCTCCTTCAGCAATTTCAATGGGACATTTTCGAACATCCACCATATAGTCACGAGTGACTTTCATCTGTTCCCTGAACTGAAGCAGTGGCTTTGCGGGAAGTGCTTCCAAAATGACGTGGAATTGAAAGAAACCGCCACATCTCACTTCCAATCATTGGCAAGAACATTTTATGAAGAGGGTATTGCAAAGCTTGTTCACAGATGTGACAAATGCCTCAATCGTCAAGGTGATTATGTAGAGAAATAATCTGTATTGTACATTATTTTTGGTAATAAAATCTTTTTTGTATATTCAGCTGTCTTTTCTTTATAGCCCATCGGAGGTTGAAAAAAAATAGCCCTCGTATGTAATTTTGTTTAACAATATGTTTTGTAGTCTTATCCGTATGTTACATGACGATTGACATCACCATGACAAGTTGTAACGTCAAGTTATTGTTATTTCCTTGGCTTCACTTTTGTGATGTCATGTTTACTTACTAATCTCATCGATTCTTTGTTGAATTGCTTTGTTGTCTTTAATTTTTTTTTTTTTTTTTTTTTAAGTGTCAAATCTATTAAAGGAATGCCATAAGCAATATTGGAACCCTGCACACCATATTTTGAAATGCCAGTATTGGGAAGTGAAAAGGAAGAATCCTATATAATTCAATTTTAGGAACTTTATGAATCATCTTTATTCTCTGAGGAAGAAAAGCATTTCCTGGAGTTTATTCTCTAATGTTCCATAAATCTACAGTGGGGTTTAAAATTTGTGATTGAAATGGCCATGACAGAATAACACTTTATTGTTATTCTGTGTTAATTACTAGATAATCATATATGCTTGATGAAGTACTATGTTGTTGAAATATAATTGCAGAAATGGGGGGGGGGAAATACGAGCAAAATGATTGTGTGATTGTACTATTAGTAATAATGATTATATTTATATACTTAAACTATTTTTATGGTTTTAGCTTAGCTTATACCGTCCGTTATACATTAAACGCGCATGCATAAACGTATTTTGCGCATGCACACACGCATATTCGCAGCCGTGAAGGTCTGATGCGCATGTGTCAACGCGAGGCATGCGCGTAAGTTTGTAGCTTTGAGGTCTGGATTATGGTTGTCCGAATGAATGACTTTTGACTGTATATTTTTCTTTATACAACACTTATGCTTAAACATCCTTTTTTACCGGAAGGATTTTCATCCACTATTAAATTTCACGAGGGCTATTTTTCTGTCAACTGCCATGATGACATAATTTTATGTATTGTTTTTTGACTTATAAATGCAAATCAAACAATGGGGTACTAGCATTTTACCAATACTATTGTTCTTGAGCATGCCTCTACTGATTTCATTCCAGCATGCAATAAATAGGGAAAGTCCTCAGTTCACTTATGTACATCATCCTCAAAAGGAGAAGAATGCTTCTGAATATCAACTGTACTTGTCATCAAAACTACCGACACTGCATTGTAACTTAGTTACTGAATGGTTTGATGTTTCCACTTATCTAGTACCTATATTTTGTGTTTAAAACTGTATTTATTGTTAACTTAAAATGTAATTACATTTTCCCTTACAATTAATGTTATATAGTCTCTGTTGATTAAAATGTATACTACAGTACAAAGTCCGAAAGTCGGGACTTCGCCGATTCCGGATTTTGATTTTCCCGGATAATAGATCATCATTGTAAATCTGGTAAGATGGCATGCAGAAATTATACAATTAAAAATATGAAATCGTAATTTATGAAATAAAGAACATTTATGATCTAAAGGGTATCAAGATTTACAAAAGAAAGCTTAATATTTATTTGTTTACTTTATTAAACATTTCTTTCAATGTAAGTTGCTTAAGATGCTTCCACAGAAAATTTAAAAAGTTCCTTTTTCTTTTTTCTTGTGTCATAAACAGTGGACTTTCCAATGCCATACTCCTTGCATAATTTTGAAACTGATATGCCTTTATCCATTTTTTGCAGCAATTCACCTTTTTGTTTAATGGGCATCGAAACATGGTTTCACTTTGTAGATCCTTTGGGAACTCCAGAATTGGAAACTCTTTTTGACATAATCGAAAGTTCAAGCTTAGTTTTTATAAAATTGCTGTAATAATAACAGTCTGCAAAAAATAATAAGCTGGATCAAATTAGAATATCAGGGAGCAGCACAGTCTACTACATTAATTGAACTGTTTTAGAATCAGTAAAGATAATTTTAGCCTAACTTAATAGCAGCCATTATACATTATTAGCTGTGTATCACAAGATTGGCAATGAAAGCCAAGTTGTTTCGCTAAATTTTGTCTTGCTCCTATTGTGTATTGTATTAGTTGGATTGTATTAGTTTAGTTATTTACTATATGTACGTTTATTTCTTGCACATGCTTCAAACTGATCAGAGTCCTGAATAAATAAACTCCCACATATACTTAAGGCTTTAACTAGGGCCGGCGCTCGATACCGCCTGGTGTAGTCTTTACAGGTCCTAAATTCTGCTACAAAGTGCTTTCCTAAGTTCTAAATTTTCACTGTGCATAAACTTTGGATTCCAGTGCTTTTCCTAAACATAAATACTTCTCATCCCTTAATTTTGCTGCTCAGTGCTTACCCAAATTCCAAAAATTTCGTCTTCCCTAAATTCTGCCGTTCGATGCCGACATATTCTGCCGCCGCTTCTGGGTTTATGGTGATACATATCATATTCTTATTAAAATAGCACTAAGTAATCTTTTGGCCTAGAGTTTATTAACAAAATCTATTTTTAGCATATGAAAAGAAACTTTTGCTGAATTTTTCCTCGTCAACATTTCTTAGAGCATTTAAAAGTCTATAATCATCGCCAATTAATTAATGTTAGCATAAAAGGCTGCCATACTCTTGTTATTCAATTACTAATATAAAAAAAAGTTTACACATCACAGCATGAGTTATTATTGAAGCTCTCACGCATTGATAAACATGCAGTGATGATAGCAAAAATATAATAAATAATGACTCGCCAGGTTGGCGTCTGGTATATAAAATAGGTGAATTTTTCTGTTTGAAATGTATACCTAGTAGATACTCAGTTATGGAGCCAAATTATTAATCTCACAAATTTATGCTTACATGACTGTTTTTCCATAACGAGGTATTTTATGTAGTGCCTAAGTGAAATTAAGAATCGGAATTTTTAAGTGAAAATCTTCCACACTTTTTATTATAGAAGAAAAAATCAAATGCGCGTGTATAAAGCATTAATTAAAAAAAATGTTTGTAGCTGTGAGGTCCGGATTTTAGATCATTCCAGATAATGGACGTCCAGATTTCAGACTTTGTACTGTATAATAGACATTGTAGTTTGTCACAGTTTAAAAAACATTATTGATTTCTTTCTTTGACATGTCTTTTATTGCAGCTCCAAAATTCAAGCTTATTGATTCTGAAACTCCTCTGCCTGAATTCAGTGATCTGATTCGCAATAATTTGCGTGAAAATAATCTCAGTGCTGTTTGGGGAACTTTTATTGATGAATGCGCTAAATATTACTATGAGAAATTTCCTAATATACAGAACAGCAGCGAGTATCAAGCAATTGGACGTAAAATGTATTCAAAATATCCAGCTATTGGTTATGAAGGAAAAGAACCTTGGGTATGTTAAAACATTTTATTTATTGAATTATGATTAGTATACATCTAAATCAGGAACCCCAACTTTTGTTGACCTTTGACTTTTTTCAGTCAGAAGCAGCTCTGTATTTTTTATTGATCATTCTATACTTTTCATTAATAAAATTCCTCTAAAGTAAAGATCTTTCTAAATAAATAGCTTGGCAATATAAATAATTCTAGATCATATCACAGAATTGGAAAAGAAAAAGGCATTTAATGAGATCTAAGGAAAATGAGAACTTGAATTAGTTAAATGATATCATGCTCATTTTCAGATGAAAATGTCAAAGGCAAATTAATTGGTTTAAAAAAAAAAAAAAAAAAAAAAAAAAAAAAAAACCTTCGTAAACACTTTTTAGGTAATGTTGTTTAGTTTAAAAACTAAATAACTAAATTTCTATCTTAATATATTTTTATTAATTTGAGATTTATTATTTTTCTTGCCATTAGAGACTGTCTTTTTGTTGTATTGGCCCCGAACCATATTTGACGATTTTAAATTTGCACTAAATCTCGTCTATAATTTTGCCAAGCTTGTGAAATACGAACAACACAATTTATTATACCAACATTAATATTCACATGTCGTTTCTTAAGAATATTTTTAAGAATCCTAATCTTTATTATTATTATTTTTTTGCATGTAATTGTTCCAGTCAAATGTAATACTTTCACACATATTAAGCTGTTTATTACACTATGTCATGGGGATCAACTCCTATGCCCAAGAATACATAGCAGTGACGAACAATATTCTGGAACTACTGAACCAATTTCCAACATGGAGGCCCTTCTTCATTTTGCAGATTTTTAATATTGCACCTTCTGATGGTTTCTTTGTTAATATAAAGTTTCATGTTGTGGCCATTTTTGCATACTCATTTGTCAGGTAAAAGACACCTCATTACTTGGTAAATTAAAGCTTGTTAACATCATATTCAGAAGAAAAAAGCAATGAAAATATTTTAAAATAAATAATACGAATTTGAAAAATTCATGAATAATATAGGAGCATGCGCCGAGAGCAAAAAGAAGCATAAGAATATGCTGCCTGTGCTAATATATGATTGCATGATGAGATATAAGAAAGTTCAGCCAGATTTTGATGAGCTGTCTGGGTTGATTGGTGATTCAATCTCGGGGGCCGCTAGAAGTACTTTAAAGAGTTTAACACTACAGTAAAAAGGAAATATAACTGAAATACTTCTGCTTAGAGTTCTTTAGATTCCATTGTGATAAAATTACTTTGGTGAAATTGAGTTAAAACCATAAAAAGTAGGATTGCAAAAAAGAAAAAATGTAATAATTCCGATTTTCACTATCAAGTTGAAACTGGTGCTTAATGAATGATAAACTTAATAACAGAAAGGTAGAATTACATTATACTTATAGCACTGTTCAGTATATGTATTTTATGTATGAAAGCTTGTTAGAAGTGTAAGTACAATCAATAATCGCATGTAGATTTCCAGGGAATATTAGAAATATGCAGCTTAATGCTGGTATTCAGCTCAGGCAGATTCCCTATACTTCCGTGATAAATATGAATGTGTAGATATGTTGATAGTTAGAAGTCACTTCAATTCAGATCTGGGAAATGGAATAGTTAAGCTGCCAAGCACCTAGGAAATATCTTGAAGGGACACAATCATCACCAAAGTTGGCATGAAGTGGCTGTTTTACTTACTTCTGTTGACCAGTGTGAGGTGTTGTTTAATCCTGCATGAAAATGATTCTCCTTAAATACCCCCATTGTCGTAAGGTAGGAACTATATACTGTGCAAATAATTGAAAGTAGTATCTGTAGTGTCAGTAAAAAGAAAGAAAGAAAAAAAAAAAAAAGAATAAGAAGGAATCAAAATCAGAATAAAACAGTTGTGAATCTACTTCATACAATGATGCAATTGGAAGGTATTTTATATGTGACAGTTCTACATACTGACTTCTGTGGTAAAATGTGCCTTATTTACCCACGGAATATTCTAAGCCCTCATCTCATCAACAGCTATCATTACAAAATTCAGAGAGCAAAGCTGCTGCATTGCTGCGGATCTTGAAACTGTAACTACTGTACTATTCAAATCTTATAAGCACTAATCTTGCATCTTTAACCTGCTGTATCATTTGGTTCTTACAGATGTGTCTGCAACAGTCACTTCATCCATGATTGGCCCACTTTTTGTTACTACCTCACCTGAATCTCTAGTCTTTTCATCTGTCTTCATTATCTAGTTAAGTTATTCTTGAACATGGATTAATTTTGAAGACTTCAAAAGATGATCTCAGAAGTTAATGTTGCCATTATCATATAATAACTTTACCTATGAAGCATATTTTCTTTTTCATTTAACATATGGCAATCAGTGCAGAATTATTTTTAGGCACTCACACCTTGCACTTTTTTCACAGCAGGTTGTTTTCTAATATACGTTAATTTCTGTTAAAAAATACCAGTGATGAAATTATTTCTTTTCCTTTGAAAATCTCTTCCCTGTCTTTTGAATAGTCTGCATTACATTTCACTCAGGGTAAGTAACTATGATTATAGCCATTACAAATGGCTATAACTATTTATTGAAAACGAATTTATCTTTACGATTAACACATAATGTAGAGAGAACTTCAAAATTTTGTGTACATATGTCATAGATGTTCCATGTGACTTCCCTTGGACAACGAATTACATCTTTCAGCAAGATGGAGCACCCCCACACTGGAGTACAGAGGTTCGCACCTTTTTAAATCAACATCTTCCAAACATTGGTTGAATTTGAGCTGCCGACGATGTCTTCTACTCTTGGCCACCGAGATCTCCAGACTTGACACCCTGCATTTCTTTTTTTTTCTATGGAGGTTATGTGAAAGACAGGATGTTTGTGCCTCCCATGCCCAAAATAATTGAAGAACTCAAAGTATGTGTTTGTAATGCGCTTGCGTCGGTGACTGAACAAATGTTTCAGAATGAATGGTGTGAAATGGCCTAGATGTTGTCCGTGTAACGAAGGGAAGTCACATAGAACACCTGTGACGTATGTATACAAAATTTTGAAGTTCCATCTACAGTATGTGTTAATATTAAAGATAAATTCGTTTTCAATAAATAGTTATAGCCATTTGTAATCGCTATATTCATTCTGACTTACCCTGTATATTGATTAGAATGGGCTCCACAGAAAGGACATTTTAGATTACTTCTAGGATTCTTGTATAAGAGAAAAAGTCACATAGGGAAAAACTGATTATTTTTATATTATTGGTTTTCATTGTATTTGACATCTTTTAAGAAAAGAAGAAAAGATGGGGAAAATTATCTAAGAAGAATATTAAAAGGATTAGCCAAAATAAATTACATAGAAAAATGTACCAAAATTTTTAAAAGAGTATTAGCTATCTCTCTTACGTTGATACATGTTAACACGTTGACTGCTGGGGGGGGTCACCGTTGGCTGGCACTCGACTTGGCTACAGCACCGTAGGGACCACCAGTGACTGGCGACATGACCAACAGTAAAAATATATAATTAGAGTAAATATTGATACAGATAAATTTTTAAATAATAACCATTGTTACTATAATGTTTTTAAGTAATAGATCACAAAAACAAAAATTTAAATAATAAATTGCACAAATGGTCTGCAGCCCCTCGGGGGTTGAGCGGTGACCCCCCCCACACCAGGAAATATGCATTAAACATGATTACATAACTCACCTTATCTTCTGTAGATAATATTTCAACATAGTATGCATAGAATAAAAAAAAAATCATGTTGGCACCATGGGCGAACCACGTAAAATGTGTGTGGCATTCAATGTGTTAATATACTAATTTTAATGTAAGTTTTCACATTGAAACCTGAAAATTATTTCTAAGAGCTCTTCCAAAATAATAAAGTTGAGGAAAGTTTATTATTCCGTAACCCATTTACATCTTCTGTGACCATAATATTATTTCACAAAGTGATCTAGAATTAAATAGCTGTATTACAATTGAATCTCAAGTTTTGATGTAGTGGTTAAAGCCTTTTTGTAAATTGTTATTGGTTATAAAATATACTATGTGTGAATTAATAATGGGTGTATAAAATAATTATAATGGTGAGCTAATAATTCTTTAATATAAGGTAACCAAAAAAGTTCTTGCTGTTTCTGATATGACATTGGGAGAGTGAAACTCAACATAAAAATAGTCGTCAAATCTGGTAATGAAGTGGTCATAGTAACATGGGAAGTTGGTAGATAGTAGTATGGGAAGTAGGCATAGAAGAAGGATGGGAGTCTGGACATTCACCAAGAGTATAAAAGCGCGTTGCTTCGGTACTTCAAACATAACTCACACAGCGACTGATTGAAATGGATGTGTCAGACGCACTTATTTGGAGTTGTTTGCTGTATGACTTTAAAATGGGCTGTCAGCAGCAGAATTAAGTTGCTGAACTTGCCAGGCCTTTGGTGATGATGCCGTTAATGAACTAACCGATAGGCAATGATTCCAGAAGTTCAGGTCCGGATATGTGTCTTAGTGATGCACCACACAACGGTCGGCCACAAGCGCTGAATGATTAGACCCTAGAAGCAGCCGTAGAGTGACATTAGCCAAACATGTGGTTAACTTGCTGCACACTTCCAGGTCTCTGATGAAATGATTAGACTCCATTTGTGCTGCATAGGAAAGACGTACAAGCTGAGCACGTGGGTACCCCACTCACTGTCTGATGCAAACACGCAACAGTGTGTGTTGCTGCCTGTTTGTAATTTCTTACTCGGGATCGCAGTGCATCCATATTTGATCAAGTACTCACCAGCGATGAAAAATGGGTCCAGTATGACACACCCAGGCATTCCAGACATTGGTTGTCTCTACGGGACCCTGTGACGGAACACTGCGAGACCTTCTGTCCGCCACACAAGATCATGCTTAGTATCTGGTGGACTAGTTGACATTTGGTGCACTATGAGCTCCTGCCAGTGGGCCAAACCATTATGGCAGGCCTGTACTTGCAGCAGTTGGAACATGTGCATCGGGCGCTGATGCATAAAGGGCCAGCATCGGTCAATCGTAAGGGTGTACTCCTTCTCCATGACAATTTGAGGCCGCATGTGGCTCAGGAGGCCAGGGACACTGTCCAGCAACTGTACTAGGAGACACTACCCCTTCCACCATACTCCCCAGGCCTCCCACCAACAGACTACCACCTTTTCCATTCTCTGGGAAACCATCTTTGTGGGAAATCCTCCAACAACCAGCCAGACCTCGAAAAGGCCCTCACGGACTTCTTTGCGTCCAAGACTGAGTTTTACCGTGATGGCATTACACAGCTAGTACTTATTGGCAAAAGGCACAGGATGCTGACAGTGATTACTTTCAGGATTAGCGTGATTGTTATTTGTTTGGAAAATATGAAATTATTAATGGTTATGGAAATTATGAATGATTATGATTAAGATTATGGAAATATTTATATAAATCTGTCGTTCGTTAGGAATTAGATGTATCATTCTGTTGTTTCGTTCTGTTTTTTCCATTTATAGTTTTATGAAATAATTGTAATATTTACCATAAACTGTTGTGCATAACTTTTCTGTAATTCATCTTTTCATTTAAGAAATGTTATTTGAATGTATTTATTTCCTCATTTTTACTTTTATTAAAATATCAATAATTTTCCCTTTTTAGTCATATTTTTGTAAATCTCTGAGTCAGAAAATAAGACATATAAAATGGAAAATTAAAAGGAAAAGACTTGGGTTAACATCAAGAAGGTCTAGAAAACCAAGAGATAGCATGCATGGTTCTAAAATGCATGGTTTACAAAAAAATGACCGCAGAAAAGTTGATCGGAGGTATACATTTAGTAAGCAATATAAAGCATTATTACGAGAACTTGCTGATGGTTGGAATAAAAAATCGATAGCAGACAGCAGGATAGCAGATATTTTGAAGCTGACATCAAAAGCAAGACTCTCCTGGTTGCGATCTCATCGAACTGGCAAATTATCAGCACTTATAGATGAGTATCCTTGTTTTACAGATGGAAGATATGTAAGTGATATGCATTTTATAAATTATTGTGAATTTTTTGGTAGAATATTTTAATTTTTGTATTAATATAAAGCTTATTATTTTGAGAATAGCTCAATAAATTTTGATTTACATGGAAAATAAACTTTTTTTCAGTGAATGTTATTTGCTAAACTTTAAAATTTTCATATTTTAAATGAAAAGTTTACAGTTTAATGTAATTATAAGATAGTCTGTTGCATAGTATAAGCTCTAAAGCTAACTTAAATTGTGTATTAATTGATATGCTATACTATAATCTTAATGCGTAGTATGATTTTAAGCAACCAAATTTATGTGTGTAATGAATAATGGAATGAATTTTATTCTTTTGGATGTAATTTATACATTTTGTATAAACTGTAGGCTCTATACAAAGGTTGTTCAAGAATGAATGGCATGAAATTTTTTTTTAAGTTGATCAAAAAGAAACTAGATCAAATTTTGAAAGTTCCCCTGAGATAAATTTAATCGCTATCTCCTTTAAAGAGTCTCTTTCTGATTTAATACAATGAAGGCAGCACGTTCACTGCGAGTGGAAATATTTTAACTGAAGTCTTTGGAATGTCTAGTATCGTTGATGGTTTTACTTGAGTGCTTTCTATGCAGTCAAAATGATAGTCTGTCTTAGAAATTAAAAGAAAGGGCCTTATATATTATTTCAGTGATCAACATCAACAGTGAAACTGTCATCAGTTACTGCAATTTAGTGTCAGTTATGGATAAACATGATGTAACAACACACTCATAATATCTGCACTTTTGTTCATTGGAATTGTGATTATTTTCGATAAGTCATGTTTTGTTTTAATGAATAAGGATATAAATTAATGATTATTTCTGTATTTGTTTCTTGCATTTTGGGAAAAAATGATTGAAATTCGTGATCTGCCTTCTACAGAACACCAAGCAGTGGATTATTTTCAGTGTTATGGATCCTAACATAAAAACATTGCATATTAAAAAGCATGATATGGTCATCTGAATATTTTAGACAAAACAGTAATAGATTGAAATAATTGCCTGAAGGAAGTTTGTACTCTTAATGTTCTAAACAGAGCTGCTTTAAAATCAGAGGTCCTAACAAAATAGCAGAAATCAACAAAAGCCATTTTTATGAAGTGCAAAAAATGAAGCAGGTCAAATGCTAGTTGTTTATAAATGCAGGGTTGTCAGTAGTACCTGGAAAATCGGAAAAACCGGAAAAAATCAGGGAATTTGAAAATTGACCAAAAATTTCAGGAAAAAGTCAGGGAATTTATATATTTTAGTCAAAATCTAGAAAAGTTGGGTAATTTCATATGGTAATCCCCCCAAAAAAAGCGAGTTTTGCACCAATTGTGGAAGCGATAACTTTCTTGGCAAAATTATTTACTGCGTAAGTGTCATTCAGGCAGCTGGCATAGAGCCAATTTTCACAGCTCCAATTAGCTTAACTTTTAGAAAGGCAAAGCAAGTTTCCAGCAACTTTGCTTCCAGTAGCCTCAGGAACCGAGAGACTCGCATGTGCAGTGCATTTCGAAACAAGGAGGTTAGAATACATGGAGATGCCCTACGCCCAGTTCAGGTGAAGCCAAAAAGGATGGGGGAAGCATGCCCTTAGTAGTCGTGGCTTAGAAAGATTTACGTGCTCTTTAGCCAATGAGGCAGAAGCTAATCACACCCAGTTTCGTTCCTGTCAGACATAAATTAAAGACCGCCAATTCCTCGTGCCATTTTTTCCTTTACTTTTCCCACCATTTCATTTTATTTCTCCATTATATAATTGCAATAATTTTTACATTATGTTATTGCATGCTATCATTAAAAGTATTGTGAACAAAAAAAAAAAAAAAAAAAAAAAAAGTAACTAATTATTTAAACCATAAATTGATTATACTTTAGTTGCTCTAAATATATATAATTCTCTAATTTTCCATGTTATAAATACTACTTGTATTTTGGAAAAAAAAAAAAAAAAAAAATCTTGAATGAACAATGATAAAAAAATTATTTAGATTCTGCTTTCTTATTTTTAAAACTCGCACCACAAATTTGACTAAAAATCAAATCCTGTTATTATATTTAGTTGAACAGAAAATAAAATAAAGTTAAATATATAAAATATCTGACTTGCAGCATAATATGATCACACACTTTTTTCTTTTGCTTGGAGAGCTAGCCACTCCCCCCCCCTAGTTTACGTATCATTTTGCTTTCACAACTCAATTAATTGTGAGAATAAAATTTTTTATTGCTATGAGAAGAAAAATCTGAGAACTGTGTATGTTTTTTCATGCTCATTACACCTAGAAAATACTCTAAATTTTTTTTGACTGCTTTTCAAACAAACATTTCAATTATTCTACTTCTTTATGCACGTTTAAAAACATTCTTTTACACGGTAATGAAATCTGAAAATGTAGACATTATTTTTTTGTAACAATTCAGTACCTTTTAGCCCTCTCTTATCTTCAGATGGAAAATCCGAACACACAAAGAACTTGATACTGATGAAGTTTAACCTCTGTTTGCTTAGTAAGGGCAGCATTTTCCTGCCCTCGCGTGGCGTGGCTTATTTGCTTCCCTCGGCTTCACTTTCGTCATAGTGTGATAGCAGAAACGGCATCTCTATGTAATCCAACTTCTTTGTGTTGAACTAAAAAAAATACATATTCTCACATAAAATAAAACCAGTTTAATCCAAGTATACGATAGTATGGAGTTTAGAATAGCCTCCATGTATTCTTTTCTAACCTCCATATATGGTACACACAGGATTTGGCGACATGATGATGAGCAGTAAACGTTTTGGTGTTGGCAACAATTTTCAAAATCATGCCAAGGCCTTAGTGTATGCTAGGATTTTACCACAAAATCTTTTAAACCTTTTTTTTTTCCCTTATTAATAAATGCCTTATTTGTCATTTTGCAGTAAAATAAAAAAACAGTACTCAGTCATCTAGGCTAACCAATTAATATAACTATATTCACTAAAATATAATTGATTATTCTAATTAAATTTTTTAAGTATTTATGTTATTCATATAATTTAATGTTGCATTTTCCCTCTAAATTTATTTATTAGTAGTAAAAAATAATACTTTCAAATTTCAGGAAATTTTCTCTGGCATAATCCTTAAAAATTCTAGCAGTGGGATGACATACCATCACAAAATTTAATGCACATATTTTTTGCTTATATATGCTGCTAAATAAATATAAAATACCTGAATTTATTTAAAAATATCATTAATTAAATTTATTTCTTTCGTTTAGCTGCAAAATGTCTGCAAAAAAAGATATTTTTTAATCCAGATTGGGCAGATTCTAATCTCAGTCTGAAGTGGTGATAACAACTTCTATTATAGTTATAATAATAATGCTTTGGGGATTATATATATATAAGTCATACAATTGGCAAATTTTTGTGTTTTCAAGTGGTACCATTTTTAATTTACCTCTTAGCACAATATGGATTACGGGGATAGATTGGAATTTTCTTAAAACGCACCTGGAAAAGTCAGGGAATTTCATTTTCTTGTTTTAAGTGGCAACCTTGTAATAATTTCCTTCACAGGAATGATTACACTTCACAGGAATGATTACTACAACTTTGGTGGATCTCTACCAGTTTTGGTGATTTCATGGTTTATGGCCAACAGGATACTATGTAATACCACAAAAATTTTTATAATGTCAAATCTGGTAAGTGGAAAAGATGAGAGACCAGTACACTATTCTCATTTGTATAGAAAAACAGTAATTAGGATGGGTTGCAGTATGATGATATGCTAGAATTAACTGCCTTGAATCTTGTGTTATTTGTTTAATGAGTAGCCTATGGGGAATATAACCCATCAAGAAGTTATATCAAGGTATCGATTCTGTTTGTTTTCTTTCAAGTGATATTTTATAGACCCTGCAAAACTGGAAAATGCTGGTAAAGCTTATTATGTAAATAAAGATTTATAATTATCCAAAGAAAACATAAAGTTAAAAATGCCTGCGAATTTTAAAGGATTGACATATCAGAGATGAGATTCAGATAAATAGGCAAAAGGATAAATACAGAACAAAGTCTGAGATCTGGACATCCAATATCCGGAATGATCTAAAATCTGGACCGCAAAGCCATCAACAAAACTCTTTTTAGGATTTTTTTTTTATGTCTTACGCATGTGCATAAGAATTTTTCCCCATAAGAAAACATACGGAGAATCCCGATTCTTAATTTCACTGTGGCATTAAATAAAATACGTTGTTACCAATTGTTTTAGCATAATTTGTGTGATCAATAATTTGGCTCCGTAGCTGCATAATTGCTTGGTGTACATCTGAAACCAAAACATTTTACCTTTCTTAGATTTTACTCTAAGATTTTTTAGCTTTTATTCCTTCTCTTTTATTCTATTCTTAGAAACATCGTTGATTTTACAACTGCTAATACTTTATATCCCTGACACCAACCTGGCGAATCATTCTTTATTATATTTTGCTTTCAACACCGTATGTTTATCAACACATGACAACTTGAGTAATGACTCATACATTGATGCCTAAACAAATTTTTTAATATTATTAATTGAATAAAGAGTATGGATACCTTTTATGTTTTATGCTTGGCGATGATTACAGATTTAAGTTAAATGTGCTACATATTGATGAGGAAAAATTTAACAAAAATTTCTTTCCATATGCTAAAAATAGATTTGGTCAATGATATTCATATCCAAAAGATTACGTTTAGTATTACGTGAATTAAGAATGACTGATTTTTTATTCGCAATAAACCTAGAACCAGCGCCATAGTTCATATGGCCACATTGGGCGGCAGAATTTAGGAAAGACTAAGTTTTACAAATTGAGAAAGCACTGAGTAACAAAATTAAGGGATTATAAAATTTTTAGAATTTAAGGAAAGCACTGGGACCCAAAATTAAGCGGCGGCAAAAAATTAGAACTTAGGGAGGCCCTTGGTAGCAGAATTAGAACTTAGGGAGGCGTTTGGTAGCAGAATTTAGGACCACAGAAACTGCGTCAGGCGGGAAAAATATCTAGCACCTGCCCTCAGTAAGCTTAAGTATACATAGGAATTTATTTATTCAGGACTCAGATAAGCCTTAAGTATGTGCAAGAAACAGATTGAAGTATAATAAATAACTAAATTAATATAACTCAAGCTTTGTTTTCTCAGTGCATGACAGAAGTAAGACAAAATTTAACGGAACATTTTGTCTTTCATCGCCAATCTCATGATACATAGCCAGTAATGTATAGTGGTCACTGTTAAGCTAGGCTAAAATTGTACTTTACTGATTCCAAAGAATTTCAGTTAATATAACAGATTGCACTGTGCTTTAACTTTCTAATCTGATTCAGTTGCAGGCCATTATAATTATAATTACAACAACTTTATGGAAACAAAAGTTTGAACTTTTGATTATGTCGAAAAAAGTTTCTAATTCTGAAACAGGAGCTGAAACAGGATCTACAAAGTAAAAGTATGTTTTGATGTCCATTAAACAAAAAGTGAAATTGCTGTAAAAAATGGATATAGATATATATCCATCCCAAAATTATGCAAGGCATATGTATGGCATTGGAAAGTCAACTGCATATAACATAACAGAAAAAGGAACTTTGCAAATTTTTTGTGGATTCTGATCATCCCACTCGCAGTGAATCACAGAAAAACTATTCACTATCCTAAAAGTGACGATCATGACAATGTGTGATTGAATGGTCAGACAGAGATGCAGCAAGGGTATGCCATTGACGAGTCCAAATGCTATTTATTGGCTCAAGTCAAAATTTCATAAAGAAATGAACTTAAAAACTGAGTGCACATATTTGACAGATTAAACAAATTTTAAAATCGCTGTGGTATAATGCAATTAAAAATTCCAGGTGAAAAAGCTTCAGCTGATACTGAAGCTGCTGAACTTGAAATGCATTGAATGAATGTTGCAAATGAATTCATTGAACTCATTAATAGTAAAACATTATCTCCGGGATAAATTTACAGCACTGATGAAACAAGAGTTTTTCTGGCAATATGTACCTTGACAAGCTGTGCAGAAAAGGTTCCAACTGGTGTCAAAGATTCCGAAGCTAGACTAACAATTTTAGCATGCGCAAATACTGTAGAAACGCACAAGTGTAAACTTTTCTTAATTGGAAAAAATACACGACCTTGAACATTTAAAGGAGTAAAGATTTTCTCGTTATGTGTCATGCAAATGAAAGAGCACAGATGACACAAGCATTAATGTATCATTGGTTTGAAAATCATTTCATACACGAGGCTTGGTAAAATTTGAATTCGGTTCCATGTTTTCTTTCCTCCAAACTGTACGTACATCATTCAACCTATGAATATTCAAATAGTGCATACACTGAAATGCAAATATAAAGTAGCATTGTTAAAACCCATGTTGAATTTCTTAAACAATGGCAAGACTTTTAAAGCCGTTTTAAAATATTTTAGCATAAAATCTGTGTGGAGCATCGGAAGATTGTGGGAGGATATGCTTCCAGATACTTTTAAAAATGCTTGGCATAATGTATGGCCAGCTTCCATATTTCATGGTGAGGATGATGAAGATGATAGCCACGAATTTGAAGCCTTTTGGATATCACAAACCACAGGTGAAATTTTCCAATTAATGGATTTTGTAAAAAAATGTGGAGAAGCGATAATAAATGAAGATGATATAACAGAAGTTTTTCATTGCAATGACAATGCTCCAATCATCAATAAATTAATGGATGGCAAAATCTGTAGTATGGTTCTAGATACAGAAATATCGCTATCAATAAGAAAGAAAGTGACAGAGAAAACTGAAAGAATTCCGATTGACAAGTTAGTCAGAATCTTGACACAGCAACTACAGCACTTGAACAGTGGAACTTTGTAACTGAATAAGAAATTATGTCTGTCTATAGAATTAAAGAGAAAGTATTAGCACAAAAAATGAAACAATTTAAATAATTTACATTGGATGAAATGTTTATAATAAAGCAAACAAATAAATATTAAACTTTATTTTTGTAAATTTTGATACCCTTTAGATCAGCGGTTCTCAGCTTTTTTGACTAACACGTACCGTCTAAACAAAAATTGGAAACCTTTAGTACCACCACTACAAAGTACTACTACCACCACCATTCTTAAACAAAAGCTCAGATCGCATAAATTTAAGAGTGTGAGAGAAAAAACTCAATCAGGATTTTGGGATTTTAATTTTTGAATTTAATAGTTAAAAATACTAGGCTTCATTGCGTACCACCTGTTTTTCCCTTGTGTACCACCAGTTCAGAACCCCTGCTTTAGATCATAAATGCTTCATTTCATAAATCACAATTTCATATTTTGAATTTTATACTTTCTACATGCCATCTTACTAGATTTAAACTGATTATCTAATATCTGGAAAAATCCCAAATGCGGAATTGCCGAAGTTCTGATGAGTCTGGATCTCGGACTTTATTTGTTGAAAGTGTCAAATAGCATTTTGCAAAAAGTGTTTTACACCATATCATATGCATGTATGAAATTATAATTAAAAGTTAAAAGTAATAAATTCATTTTATTTATGCTTATTTTTGCTACTTATTTCCCTAATCTAGTTGCATAATGTAAACCAAGTCCTATGTGATTGAAACGTTATGATCTGTATCTTCTTTATGATTGTACATTGTTCCTTGTTTTCTTGATAAACAAATACTTTTAAAACTATTTAACATTTTCAGCATATATCAGTCTTTAAGTATTCTATATTAAATACAATTCCAATTAAAATTTTTATTATTTAAAAAATGAAGTGAAAAATTGAAATAAAGAAAATCTCCCTTGAAGACTTAGTTAACCCCTTAACATATAAATAAAACTGATGATAATGATGATAGTTGATGAATTTAAAAATTATAATCCAAGTTATAAATGCATACTTATAGTCAAAAAAGCTTCTCTTTTTTATGATAACTTTTTTAGGCAGCTGGTCACTTGAGTGGCTAGTTTTCAAGAAACAATATAACGAATATTTAAAAAAAAGAAAACAAAAATGTATGGCACTCTATTGGGAAGTCTAAAGATATGCTGCCACGAGTATTTTTGTAAAGAAAGATGAGAATGTTTTATTTAATAGAAAATGCTGTCTTTTCTTTTGGCTTCTCAAGAAATTAATTTTTAAGAAAATTAAAATTTGAAATTTATTTTAACATTAGCATTTAATCAAGGGAGCATTGAAATAATCCAGTTTCTTCTATTACCTATTTTTTTTTTTGTTACCTTTAAACAGTCTCACATTATGTTAAAATTGAGTTGCTTTTATAATTATGCACAGGTTTTATTATGTGTCTATAAAATGTTTAAATTATTATTATTTAGGTTGTTAAAGATTTTCTTATATTAATGAAAAAAGAAGATACAACTCAAATGTTACAAAAGCTTGAATCTTTATTTACTGCTGTTGGAGCAATAATGGAACCTCCAGTTGAAGACTTCGTGAGTTAAAACATATATTTGCTTATATCAATTTATATTATAAACTTTAATTATTTAAAAAAATAGGTGCTTTCATGTCCAGCTCTTAAAATAGTTATAAAAAGTATGTTATGATTTTAATAAGTCCAGTTAGTGTAATTTTATTGTATCCAGTTAGTGTAATTTCATAAAACTATTTAATAATTTTAGTAGTAAACCAGAAATATAGCTTTTTTGATCACCTTAATTTAATCAATTATTCTACTCTAATAATTCTAAACTTGAAACAGAATTTACACATTTTGAGAAGTTGTGAATACTGCAGGTCATGGTACTTTATAATTTCTTTAATAATACAAGTACTTTTAACTGAGTTCCAAAAAGCCTGGAATATTGAAGAATGCATTAAAGCATTTTATTTTTCAGTTTACAAAAGCACTCTATTGTTTAACAATTAAATATGAAATATGGATCAGTTTCTCTCCTTCAGATATTTTCAATTATGTTTATTCTATTTTTGGCATTTTATTCTATATAGCTACAATTAGTCTCAAAATTCACTTTTTGTCTGTATCACTTCTGTGTCCAAATAACTTTTCAGATTGTTGCCAAAGTGTTATCATGATGTATTATATAAAAAAATAATAAATAATGAAGAATCTGTATGTATGCATGTATGTTCCTTGTATTGTGAAAAGACGATGACCCCTAGAGCCACCTAATTTTTAATACACATGATCCTCCTTCTGAGCATGGGAACTTCAAAGCCTGAATTTTGAACTTGTTTTTCAGATATTTTGTACAATTTAATGAATTTTTTAAACAAACTCAGCAATTTGAAAGCGAGAAGTGGCAACACTGTTCGAAATCAAACACTTATCTCCAGCATGCCCGACTTTTGCCACTCAAGAAAATGTAAGATAACTACTATCTTTCAATTTTAACCACAAATTTCGCTATTTGAAAGTAAAATGCTGCCAAATAGAATATTTATCCCCAGACAGCTGCATATTGGTATTCAGTGAAATGTAAGCTATTTAACATATGAATTTAATCTTTCTGTTACTGAGTAGCAAATCAAGTGATTAAAAAGCAATAAATGCAGCTTTAAAAATATTTTTTATCCTTTTAAATTTGATTGATTTAAATAAAAATGCATTTAAATTATGAAATATTAAATATTTTTATGCGATACACTAGCTGGACTCTCTAAAATCATTATATATATTACTTTTTTTATAATAACATTTTAGGCAGCTGTCCACTTGAGTGGCTAATTTTCAAGGAAATAATATAGCAAATGTTTTTAAAAAGAAAAAAAAATATGGCAACCCTTGGCAGTTTGTTGGGAAGTCTTAAAGATATGCCGTTTTTAAATATTTTGTGATTTTTGGTCTCGAATTTTGTGTGGCATAAGTGTAAAGAAAGCAACGTTTTATAATAAAGCTAAAAAGACGAAAAAGGTTGTGTTGGCAGGAATGAATCCAAGAGCAGACTTTGTAACTAGCTATGCTCAGCAAGAGCATAAACCTTAACAAATCCTGTTATGCAGAGCTAAAATTTGAATCCTTTCAGATTTTGTTTCTTTAATTTTTTGTTTTGCTTTTGTTCGTATTGAAGAATTGGTTAATTAAGAGACAGAGAGGTCATTCTGCAGCAATTTCATATATATTATTTGTGTACTAAAATTCGTTTTTTCTTTTATCTGTGTAATGAAGCCTCATGAATCTTTATTAAAGAAAAAGTCGGTGAAAATATTAAGAAAGGAACTTAAAGTGGTATTATCACAAGATATAGGATAGACTGGATAGATTAAACATAATGAATATTGAAGATTTCTCGTACAAATAATTAACACTGGTGTAGTTAGGTAAGACAATTGCATCTAAAAAAAAAATAAGATTGAATATTGTAAGAGTGACCTTTACTTTTGACCAGAAGTATGCACAGTTATCTTATTTTCAAATTTTCCAGATTTTTTTGCTTATGGAAAATTTATGATCCTGGAGATAATTTATTTCGATGAAATAAGTACAAATGCATAGCTATGTGATTTAAAATAATAGAACTGTTACAGTTAGGGTGATAGTGACAAAATTTGAAACTTTCAAACAGCAACACCTATTTTTTGCCTTGCACAAATTAATCCGCACATTCGAAAACCATAAATGATGTTGGAATGATATAGTGACGAAAACTGCCAACATAAAACATTTGAAAAGAAGAACATTGTAAAGGACCTGTGACAACATAGAGAGGAGGATTGTTGACATACTTTGCATATTTCACAAAGATAGATAGTAAAACCACCAATAACAGCACACCTTTTGCAAATCATCGCTTATGGAAAACCTTTAATAAGCAAGGTTGGAAGATTGTTTCTTTAGTCAGGTGTTCGAACATACTAACAAGATGGTAATTACATGAAAACAATGAGGTGAACCAATACAGCTATTTTATTTGAATGGGGAAAATGCTGCTGGAGCAGTGTGAATTTATTGGTAAAATTATAAGCAAAGACAAGGTCCATGTTCCATAAAAACTGTGTGAAATTTGGTAAAAAAATTTGAAGAAACTCTATGCCTGTGTAATAGATTGCGATCTGGAAGACCACTTATTCCTGTTTACAATTACTGCAAGAACTGTTGCTGCAGTTTGGATGTACCGAAACCACAGTTCTCAAGCTTCTGCACTGTGTTCTGTGGATCAATTCCAGCACATCCAGATGTTGCAACCTAGAGATGGGCAACAGCATGTTGACTTTATGAATTTTTTTTGTCATCAGATATGAAGAAGACAGCAGGTGGCCACTGCGAATATTGTGGACGAATGAAGCACATTTCTTAACTGGAAACATAAACTCCAAGAACTACATTCACTGGGCATGTAGCACCTATGCGTTTATACAAAACTAAAGTGACTGTGTGGTGCAGCACTGCAAGCACATTCTTTCTGTCTGTACTTCGAAGAGGTCATTTCCACAGGTATGAAAATGTTCTCCATCACAACTGCTCTGTATACAACAATGTTGCAGAATTACATAATTCCAGATTTTCAGCAGCGAAATGTCATTAATGACATTATATGGATGCAAGATGGTGCTCTTCCACATGCCACCACATATATTCAGCAAGTGCTGCAACAGCACTTTACAGATAAGAGTTATATCCTGTAACTTTACAGGCCACCGCAATTCTGACCTAAGCATATTGTATAATAAGCACATTTTATATATGTACGTATATATGTATGTATGTGTGGGGGTGGCGGTGTATATATATATAAATCTTCTAAAGGCTAATAAGAGCGCTTCAGTATTCATCGAGGTTACCAGTTCTAAATGAATAGCACGTGTTACTGCACAAGTGAATACTAAATGGTAATGTTTATTGTTGGTCTCTTTAGTGAAAAGTATTCGAGAATCTTCTATGCTATGCAACAACTTCAAATTAACCAATCGCAGATTAGCTCTACTTATACCTCAGATTTAATATAAATACTGTGAGCTAATTGCATCATATTCTTTTCTAACTGCTGCTCTGTCAACACTGCGTCGCTTTACCTTTGCTTAAATGCCTGTCATTTTTTTACAAAGCCACATACATAGAAAGTACATAGAATTTTATCATATTTCATTATGATTGAATCATAGAAATTTATCGGTTTTCGTAATGATTGGATAAATATCTACAGAGATGCTTTTATATGCATAGAAATAAAGATCGGGAATTCGTCTAATTCATTTTTGTATCGGCGTCATCTATTTGTCTTCCCAGTCTGCCATTATGCTACAGTGACTATACTTCAAAAACATTAGTATATATATGTGTATGTATATATAGATATATATATATATATATATATATATATATCACAATATATATATATATGTGTATATGTATACTTATATACAATACATATATATGTATACAATACATATATCATGCATATACTGTAATTTTGGTTAGAATAGCCACCCTACCATATACACTGAACATACGATAACTGACCTAAAAAAGTGAAAGTTCATCAGATAAGCCAACACCGCTGTATATGCTACAGCAACGAATTCTGAAACATTGCACTTATTCAGTAATTCCATTCCACATTGATGTAATCATCATTGATAACATATATAAAATAATTATAAACAGTAATATGTAAATAAATAAAAAATAAACAAACATCTTACTTGCGAAAAACAAACTCTGCTGATTTCTAATAGACATTATTTTTACGAGTTTGGTAATTTTTTTTTATTACTATAAATTAGCATATTATGAAAAAGAATATATGTAAATTATATAATTAAACAAAATTTTATAATTAAAATAATCTGCATTTATTTATACAAAATATTCAAATTCCAATTTATCAACGGCAGAATTAAATAAACTTAACAAATGACCATCAAGGTCACTTTCATCATTCTGTTCTAAATCACTTCTTTCAACATCGCTGTCTTCATTTTCATTTTCTTTTTCAATGATTTCCAATTTAATGAATGCTGATATGATTGTATCAGCTCATGCTGGGTACCATGCTTTATCGAATCGCATGGCAACCTCCTCAGATGAAGCTTTTCTCATCCATTGTTAATTTTTGATGGAATGGAGTCTGCTTTGCATCAATTCTTCCTACTGTTTCATAGTTCATGCTTGAAAATTCTATTGATGGTGAGAGCCAGTGACTAAAAAATTTTTGTAAGCTCACTTGGCATCACTGAGACATCAGTGCTAAGTTTTATTGCTTTAAATTTTCACATATCCCCTAAATAGGATCACATAGACCCTAGAACAGTAAGTACTTGAGAAAAAGCACCTTTCCTTTTTTTGCTAGATTTCTCTGAGCCAAAATGTCACTTATCTGCACATCTATCGTTTTTCATTGCCTCAGATAATGGCTACTTTAGAGACATTTCCTTTCAAACTATTTTTCTTTTGAAAATTATAAAGGCATTAAATTTTTTTCTTTGGCAGCACAACAAAAAACAAGAGTAAACAATGTCTTTTCATTCTGAT